TGGAAAACAGCTGTTTCCACTCTGCAAATGTGCCGCTGCCTGGGCAGACACACAGGCTGGAGGGTGGCAGGTACCTGGGGCCTCTGAGCCGGAAAGAAACAACAACAACAATAAACTGTTCCTCTATTGGCTGCCAGGCTTGAAATCATCTAAGACTTGTATACGCTTATTATCATTTTTTTCATGAGAGACTTCAAAAAGGAAATTAATCATTTCCCCATGGGGTTGTTTCAAAATTAACGTCAGCTATCATCTGTTTCCAACACCCTAAACGGCCCCGGCAGCCCCTCCACCCTCGGCCTATCGCTGCTGAGCAGGACTCAGGCCTTTCCTGGCATTTATGAGTTTTCTGGTTTCTTTCTGGGTGTGCCAACATCAGAGTGCTGTTATTTCTCATGGCAACATAGCAAACACTGGCTGGTCCGTCACCACGCACACGGGAGGCTCAGGAAGCCTCGGACAGCGGCCTGGGGGCCTCCAAGACAGGCAGTGACCAGTGGGGCTGGGAAAGGCTTTGACTAGGTCTGACCTGGTAGAGCTTCTGCTCTTTACAAGAGTGTCCAGGCTGCGCGGTGTGGCCTCTTGGGCCCTGTCCACCAAACACCCACAGGACGCGCACCATCATCGCCGCCAGGGGCCCATCCATTGGAATCGCACTGCAGTCCCTGTTTCTGGCAGCGGAGAGCCAGGCGGTACCCCACAGCCCTACAGGGAGGCCCTGGCTGCTGCTTCACAGAACAGCAAGTACATTACAAAAAAAAAAAAAAAAAAAAAAGGCTCTCCCTGGTGGTACAATGGGTTAAAGCACCGCATTATGTATGAAGCTCTCCGAAGCCACTGCAGCATGAGTTCGATCCCCGGCCCAGGAGCTGACCCACATGGCTCAAGAGACCGCTCCTGACCCGCCCGCTGCTCCCCTCAGCAGTGTATTTTGCCAATCTGCCTGTTCTGCTTCCCACTCTGTCTCTGGTGAATCCTCTCACTGCCCCTGCATCTCTGCGCTGTACCCCACCTCTGTATGCATAAATAAATCTGTTAAAAAAAAAAAAAAGAAAAGAAAAAGAAAAAATCCAAAAAGCTAATAAGGAGGCAGAACACAAATACAAGAAAAACATGATGTTTCCTTCAGAAGGCTGCACTCATGATGCAGCGGTCAGGGTTACCCAGGCTGATAACGAGACAGCTAAGTGCCCTTTCATGCTTCTCCCCAGCTCATGCTCTGAATTAAAAGAGCTGGTTCAGCTCCACCCGATGCTTGGAAAGGCGGGTACACTTACCTCTGGTTCCTGGGTCATTGCTCCTGTACCTGGACCCTCTCTCCATCCAGCAGCAATGGGGACGGTGTCACTATGGGCTAGAGATCAAGGGCAGGCGACCTGCCCAAAGCAAGGCACTTGCCTTTGAAATTCACTTGAACGATGAAAAAAAAAAAAAAAGAAAGACCTGCTTTGGGGAAACCCCATAAGTTTTTATGACTCAGGCTACACTATGATTTCATTTTCTCTTCTGATTCTACCCAAAACGGCCAAGGAAAAGCAACCTTGTCTTTTCATTGTCTTCTCACTGACAAATACAATAAACACATCCAAGCTCTATGCTTATCTCGGCAAACACAGAAGGAGATGCTGGGTAGCAGAGACCATAAATACAGGTGGCAATCATTTCTGCCTCTGACTTTTAACCTTAAGCCAAGAAAATCAAAGTTGCCGGATTTACCCTTGGGGGCACACTGGAATGATCTGGGGAATTTTAAAAACTCGTGATGTGGGTCCTCTCCCTGAGATTCAGGTTTAATAGGTGTAGGTGTGGCCTGAACATTGGAATTTTAAAAAGCTCCCAGAAATTGTACTGCAGAGAAGGTTGTGAGCCAATGACCTGCATGAGTGACCTGAGGGGACAGTTCAAGAATCATCAAATGGGAAAAGCCCTGAGGTCAAGAGACTCAAGCTCTTATCTGAGCATCACTGTGTAGTATTTGCTGTCCTTGGACAAATAACATGTCTCTAAACCTGATTACAATCTGTAAACCAGATTACATTCCCTGCAGTTCTTACAAGATATTATAAGGATCCAATATGTAAAGAGCTGGGGACAAAGCACCATGTAAGTGTAAGGGTTAGAAGATCACCATTTCCTTTTGCCATGTTAGGCTAATGTTTAGCCAGTATTGACTGAGCACTTAATATATGCTCAATGCTCAACCGCTTTCCATGGTGGACACTGTGTTTACAATGTAAGTATACTTATTACATATAATACCACCTATTACCTCTTTTTTTATAACTAAGGAGACCAACCAAGGCACAGAAAGGCAATGAGGCACAGAAACTGGAAAATCCGTCTTTAGAAACTAGGGAGCCAGCAAAAATAAGGGAAGATAGAGAGGAAGTAGTAACGCATGTCATAGAAAAAGATGGAAGGAATAAACCAGTGACAAGTTCCACCCAGACATGAATTGGGTGGATTTCTCTTTCAAAAGATACATGCTCATATGGGACTGAAAACTGAATGTTACTTATAAGAAATACATCTAAGACAAAGAAACAAAATAAAAATGGAAAATAAAGGTCTGGGAAATGTACCCAACCATTGCCAAAAAGGGATCTGATGAGACTCAGCAACCTTTTCCAATCAAAATGCCAAGTAAGAAAGACATTGAAAGCATCTAAATAAAACAACAGGCTATTTCCCAAAAATCTATAGCAAATGCCCACAAATATCTGATGTGAGCACTTTTAAAATCCGGGAGAAGAGAGCTATATCTGCTGTCATCACGATGATTCCATTTTTGAAGTTTCTAGTGGTAAGTAATGAGACATGAAACAAGACAGGTTACATAATAGAAAAGAGACAAATCTGCTTGAATTTGCAGATGACTTAATTATAATCCTAAAAGAGTCTCAAGGAAGTCTTCTAAAGACTGTCAGAATTAATAAGAGGAGTTGGGGGACTGGATAAGACATAAATATACAAGAGCTTTCTCCATATCAGTAACATGAACTTGGAAATGGAAATGGGAAAGGCATACAGGCATATAGACAGCTCATTCAAGTAACAGCAAAAAAATAAGTTAGCCACAAATAATTTAGAAAGCCAACAGTTTTTTTTTTTTTGAAGAAGATGATAAAATCTCATCAAAGAAGACCAGTGTCTAACAGGAGACAAGAGAATTTTGGGGAAAAAAAGACTAAACATTGCATATGACAGGCTTAAATAAAATGCTTGTATCAAAACAATATGGCTTTTATCAGAAATGGACTAATAGGCCTGGGGACCAGTTCTAAGAATTCCAAAGTGTATACCAGTATATCTTTCAGAAAAATGGCAATGATGACATTTCAACTAAGAGAGAACAAAAAGAAGCCTTCTTTAAAAATAATTGTGTTGGAATACCTGAACATCCACCTGGAATAGATAAAGCTAGATTCCCTCCCTCACACACATATGCAAATAAATCTTGGGAGAAAAGTCTAAAAAGCTTGAAATGTAAAAAGTAAAAATATCAAAGAGATTCTCACTCTCAAAGAATATTTATATAAAGCTGAGGGGGAAGTGACCTTCTTATGGAACCCAAATACCATACGAGAAAAGATAAACATATTTGCATATATATTTACAGATCTTTGTAATTGGAACAGATAAAAAAAATGAATGGCTCTGGGAAACTACTGGTAACACATATGATAAATAAATAATCAAAAAGTATAATACAGATAAAATCTGTATTATCCAAAAAGACCCTCAAAAGTGAAAAGAAAAATATGACAGACAATCTTTTAAAGAAATAATCAACAGACAGTAATAGATCCTTCTTACGAGGAGAAATGTGAATAATCCATGAAGATGTAAAAGATGCTCAATTTATTAATAATAAAAATGGGGACATTAAAACAAAGAGATATCATTTTCACCATTAGACTGATAAAAACTGGAAGTCTCCCAGATTTCCTGTGTTGGCCAAGGTGTGGGGACAGAAATTCCCACAAAATGCGGAAAGTGTAAAGCAACACAGATTTTGGGGGAAGCGATTTCAAAGCAGTCTGCTTTCAGGACTTTGATTTACAAAGACAAGTATTCTAGAAATCCAGTTGACAGTGCTCTCTGGAATGGTCCCTTGGAATCTGACATGACATTTTCCCATATCCTTGTAAGGGGCAAAGACCAGAAATGATCTAAATGTCCACCAATAGGAGGACTGAACCAGCTAAACGACATTCACCCTAGAGACTGAAGGTGCGCATTTAAGAAGAGTTGAAATATTCACCATCATAGACGGATCTAGAGGGGGTCCCTCTGAGAAGCACTAAATCGAGCAATTTGAAGACAACTCAATAATGCAACACTACTTTGTTACTAAAATGTGAAACTAAACTCTGCAGAGTTTTGTTTCCAGTGTTACTGTGATATAGTTGACACGTGACATTGTGTAAGCTTAAGGCGGTTCGAGTGTTGATTTGATTCATTTATGAACTGCAGCCTGATGCCCTGTGTGGAGTTTGCTGATGCCTCCATTCCTACACAGTTACCGTTTTCTTTTTGAGGTGAGAACATCAGCAGCAGGCCCCCCTAGAGAAGAGTAAGTTGGGCAAAGTTTCTGTTTCGTAAAGCTGGCCAGACCTTGTTTGATAAACAAAATCAAAAAGACCTAATTTCCAAGTAGACCTAATTTCCAAGTAGTCTTATGGAAGACTGTACACTAGCGCCCTAGAATTTACCTTGTAGCTGAAGCTTCTCCTGGTGCCAACCTTTCCCTATTTGCTGGGTCCAGGCCCTGGAAACCATCTACTCACTGTTTCTGAGTTTGGATTTTTCAAATTCCACCTATCGGTGAGATCGCACAGTATTTTTCTTTCCCTGCCCTATTGATGTCACTGCACATCCACGCCCTCAAGTTCACCCATTTGTCACAAATGGCAGGAGGGCCTTCTTCCTCAAGGCTGGAAATGCATCCTACTGTATCAGGCCACCTCTTCTGGATTCCCTCATCCATAGCTACTCACCGTCTTCCCCCGATAGCTGCTGGGCAAGGCAGTGGCTTCGATGAAGTACTTCCTGAGGAGATGTTTGCTGGGGTCCGGACTGTCCAGTAAGATGTAGGAACAGAAGAAAGCCCCATGCCGAAGCAGGAATATGGCGATGTCTTCATTTCCTGAGGGGCAGGAAAGGAGAGTGAGGTGAGCCAGGGCCATGCTCTTGTCCAAGATGGCAGCTGCTGGTGTGTGAAACCATAACGAAAAGAACTCTTATGCTGGGAGAGCTTCCCTGCGACTTCTCCTGATGGGCCAGGCTCCTGCCAAGGGGGAGACTTTCTGTGGGACTCTGTCTGCCCTTTGCACTGTCTCCTCGCAAGGTCCTGTTGCCACAGCTGGTCCCGTCACTGCAATCCTCTCACAGAGGAGGTGGCGGGAGCGAGGGGAGGCTACAGAGGTGTTGAAAAAGAAACACAGAACACGAAGAATAACAAAGAGCGAGAAAAATGTCCACAGAGACATCTTGAGAGCCAGGGCCGAGTGTGACATGGTCCCACGCCATGAGTGGGTGGGTGTGGGGGGGGGAGGCGGAGATGGGGCACACCAGGTCCCACCTGACTTGATGGCCGCATAGAGGGGCAGGCGCACGATGACTGGAAACTCGTTCTTCCTCACGGCGTAGCTCTCCGGGTCGGCCCCGTGGGTCAGCACTAGGAGCTTCACCAACTCCAGGTGCCCTCGCTGGCAGGCCAGGGCCAGCATCCAGTTGAGCAGTCGCTGGGAGCTGCAGGAGCCTGGCAGGGGGTGAGAAAACAAGGGAAGGCTGTGCCCACCCCATCTCCACCTCTACCAATGGTAAAACTGAGCTGCCTTTCTGCCTGAAAAGTCACTTCTGTCCAGTTGATAGTGTTTTCTGGAATAAGCACTTGGAATTTGCTTATGACCTTCTCCCACAGCCTTCTAAACCCACCTGCTTATCAAATACCACCATGTAGGGAAAAGCAGCATCAAAATGGCACATAGAGTGTGATGGTAGCTGAATCAAAATATGCATCCCCAGGTGAGGGGTTCTGAGCACACCCCTCACTTTCTCCCTTTCTCCCTTACCCCAGCTCTGACTCTATGGTAAGAGTAGCACTGTACACAGGAATAAGGATTGTGGCCTAAGGTTAAAAAGTGTAGTTGTATGGATTAGAAAGATGAGGTCCATATACACAATGGAATATTACTCAGCAATCAAAAAGATAAACTCATGCCTTTTGCAGCAACATGGATGGAGCTGGAAGGGGTCATACTTAGTGAAATAAGCCATAAAGAAAAGGAAAAATACCAGATGCTTTCACTCATAGCAAGAGTATAAAGGGTCAGGGGAGAAAATAATAATAATAATGAGCAGCTATATACCAGAGACATTTTACAGAGGTGGAGTGGGGAATGGGATCACAAATGGTGGGGTGGGGGAGTGCACTGGACTATGGTGATGGCACACGGGTGAGCTGGTGGTGGGAAGCCCGCAGGGATAACAACTGAAATGGCAAAAGGCACAAAATGATGTAAAAACAAACTATTATATTATTTTTTAAAAAAAGTCTAGTTGTGGAATTTTGGACAGAAGTATTAAGTGTTCTCTGACTCAGTTTATCCACAAGTTAAAAGGGAATAATAACATTCACCTTGCAAAGTTTAATGTGAGGATTACATGACATAATGTCTGTCAAGTGCCTGACTCAATAAATCCCAAATCATCAACTTATGCCATTCTTATTCTTAGAGAAGTAACACTTCCTGCAGTTCCCAGTGAATCTGGAATGTACATATACTGGCTTCATAAGTTAAAAAAAAAAAAAAAAACTTGACAAATGAGATGGCACTACATCTCCAGCCTAAAACTTAGAGAATGGCTCCCTGAAAAAATCACCCACTTAACTCCAGGATGAAACAACACCCAGCACGGTTGATGGACAGGGTCAGCTGGGCTGAAATGTTACACTATGCTCAAGTTCAAAGCAACCATGCTTTTTGGGTCTAGCTGCACTGGAAAAATGATCTCATCCTCCACACTCACACTTCCCAGTTGTATCATAACATTGTTTCATTTCCAGAAAGTCCCAAGGAACCCAAGTGCCCCAGAGCACGGAGAGGGTGACCCTCCTCTCCTTCATTGGAAGCCCCCAGGAAACAGGTGTGAGGTTAGGATGGCAGGTGTTGAAAGGCACAAGGTGCCTGGCATAGTGCCCAGGCTGGTGAAAATGCAAAATAAATATCCCATGTCCCTGAATAAAAAACTAGAACTAACAATTCAAAGGACGCAGCTCATTCACTGATTCCCAACTCATTTACTTTGAGGCCATCTAGGTAAAAAAAACACAGTTATCAAGCTGCTAGCTCCTGTTAAGGATGAATTTGTCAGTCTTAGGAGACACGTACTTGATTTCACGGCCCTGAATTTTTTTTAAAGGTCTTATTTATATATGCATACAGAACTGGGGTAGAGGCCTGAGGAGCAGGGGTGGATTCACCAGAGACAGAAGGGGAGCAGAAGAGGCAGATTCACAAAGTGCACTGCTGAGGGGAGCAGCGGCGGGTCAGGAGAGGTCTGCTGTGCCCTGTGGGTCACCTCTGGGGCGGGGATTGAACTGGCACTGAGGCGGTTGTGGCCAGCTGGCAATGCTGTGTCCTAACCAGGGAGGGCATCACAGCATCACAGCCCTGATTTTAAATATAAAACTCAGACAGGTCTGGAGATTTGCTGAAGGTCCTACCATAGGAAAATGGCAAATTCAACTTTAAAGCCAAAGTGTACCCTCAACCAAGCAAACCCCCATATGTGTTTCCGGAGGTTGAAATAAAACAATACACCTCCATGCCATGGACTGTTGTTCAGTCATAAAGAAGTAAAAGGGCATGGAGGAGCCTTAAGAGCACAGCGCTTGAATGGAATCACACTGAGAAGGTCACCTGCTTCACGAGTGGAGCTGTATGACAATGTGGAAAAGAGAAATTATGGAGAGAGTAAAAAGATCAGGGGTTGGAGAGAGGGAGAGGTGATCAGGTGGAAGACCTTTTCACTTTTAGGGTGAAACTGTTCTTGGTGATATAACGAAGAATTTGTAACGGTGAATACAATTCCTTGTACATTTGACAAAATCTGTAGTATATACAATACAGGGAGGAACCCTAATGTAGACGACGGACTTTAGTGGGTAACAGGGCATCCCTGTGCTCACCAGTTGCGTCACATGTAACACACTGATACAGAAAGAGGTGAAATTGTGTGGGTGGGTGGGTGGGGGGTGACATGTGAAAACTCTCAGAACTTTCCCTTTAATTCTTCTGTAATGCTAAAGCTGCTTTAAGGAATAAAGTCTCTTGCATTTTAAAAAGTAACAATGGATCCATATTTGTTATGAAATGTGGTGCAAAAGAATTTGCCTCCTGAGTCCCGGGGGTGAGATATGGGCCGTGGAACCGCCCTGGACAGATGCATTTTCACCTTGCTCACATCCTAAGAAGGAGGCCCCCACTTTCTAGAGCTCATGACGGGTCAAATTGTGAAGCCTCAAGCATTTTGGGGTGCAACTCTGAAATGCAGGTCTGATTCCCAAGAAGAGGGTTTTTTGCTCCTGCCCAGGTTTACCTGACAGAGACTCCAGCAATTCCTGCACCACGTCGGTGTGCCCAAAGTGTGCGGCCACCACCGCTGGGTTGTCGTCCGTGGGCTCCGTGGCCAGCTCCACCCGCCTCTCCGCGAGCAGATACCGGACGGTGTCCAGGTCTCCGTACGCCGCCGGGATGCTGAGAAGCTCCCCCTGCCAATCAGAGCAGCGACAGCGCTGTGAGGCGAGCAGGCTGCCTGTCCGCAGAGCTGACTTCAAAGCAAGGTCACGGCCAGGCTCTCCAGGCGGCCACACCAGCCACATGCGTCCGTAGAGGACTGAAAAGTGACTCAGCACGACAGGACACTGGAAGTGTAGATGCTCACTCTCAAAGCACGCAACAGGCAAACTGCCTCCGCAATCATTTTTTAGAAAGATTTATTTATGCATACAAGAACTGGGTACAGGCTAGAGGTTTGGGGGTGAGAGGACTCACAGGTGGATCCACTGAAATACACCGCTGAGGGGAGCAGTGGGGAGACGGGAGAGGGCTGCTGTGCCCTGTGAGTCACCTCCCTGGCGGAGAAGCAAACCCGTGCTCAGCAGCTGCGGAGAGCTTCATAGTGCTGTGCTTTAACCCCCTGTGCCACCAGGGAGGCCCAGCAAGCATTTTTATACTGAGTACATGTTGGGTGTTTTATAGTGATTATATGAAGATCTTGAATAGATTCATGTTAAATAAGAGAGTATTAAAAATGTCACCTGTTTTTGCTTATGTTTTTAATGTCACAATTAGGAAATCCGCAATATAAATGAGGTTTTCTATGGGACAGCTGTGTGTGACCAGGGAATGTGAGTATTCTCACATGTGAGGTGGTTAACACCATAATATAAAGAACCATTAATGGCCCTCCTTGGTGGCGCAACAGGTTAAAGTGCAGCACTGCAAGCTGGCCTCAGCCACTTAACTGTGAGTTCAATCCCCCGCCCCGGAGGTGACCACATGGCACGGCCGCTGCTCCCCTCAGCAGTGTACTGTGACCATCTACCTATTCTGCTCTCCATTCTGTCTCTGGTGAATCCTCTCACCACCCCTGCCCTTCTGGCCTGAACCCCAGTTCTGTGTGCATAAAAAAAAAAAAGAATAAAGAGCCATTAAATTCATCGGGATATGATACAGTTACGTTCACAGATAAAAGAGAATATCATTCCCTAGATAGATGAAATAGCCTTCGTGAAAAGGGAGCCTGTTAGTTATTAGAAGAAATGATCTCAAAATCTTCAGGCTCTCATTTCTTGAAAGAGCTCTATTTATTTGAGTAACTATTACTTGAATGACCAAAGACTATATTCAGGGTCTGTTCTGAAATAACTGTTTTACTCTTTAAAAAAGTAACAATAGGGCCCTCCCTGGTGGCGAGCGGGTTAAAGCACAGCACTGAGAAGCTAAAGCCACTTCCGCATGAGTTCGATTCCCGCCTGCCCCGGAGGTGACCACATGGCGTGGCAGACCTCTCCTGACCCGCCCGCTGCTCCCCTCAGCAGTGTACTTTGTCGATCTGCCTGTTCTGCTCGGGTGAATCCTCTCATCGCCCCCTCATCTCTGGCCTGTACCCCAGTCTGTGTGCATAAATAAATAAATCTTTAAAAAAAAAAAAAGTAACAATAACCATTTGGCTCATGCCACGCGGCCCTAGGACCTCCAGCTCCATGGAGGGCCACCCCGCAAGCTACTGGTCATGGAATGTGATGGACAAGGGGCTCCCTAGACCTGAGCCCCGGGGCCGAGGTCCTACAGCAGCATGCAGGGCTCCCGACTTGGGCAGCAGCAAGGATGAGAGTGGAAACTGGACCGATGCTCTGGTCTCTCTGGCACAGAAAGGCTCCTCGAGGCAGGTAGAACATGTGGGCATGGGTGTGGAGGTTGAAAGAGGCTTCATGACGTGCTGAGATCTCACAGCTAGTAAGTGGCTGCCAATAAAACGTGTACAGTAGAATGTGTGCAAAATAGCTCCGGGAGTCCGTCACCGCTGGCTTTTCATGGGCTTGCTGGGTTGGCAAAAAAGGATGCTGGCTGGATGTGTGCTCTGTTTGCGTTCCTCAAACTTTAACTTCCTTTGGAACAAGGCAGCTTGACGTCAGCAGTAAGGGGGAGATACAGAATCCAAGTTGGGTGAGGCAGTGGGTGTTGCTGTTGACATTGCCCAGGACCCACGGCGTGGGGGTGAGAAGCTGATCCCAGCACAGAGGCCAGCAGCGATTTCTGGCCTCCCTGAGTTTATGATTACGACTGAGTCAGGAATTTACATAAAACCACCACCAGCGCGCACACTGCCTGCGGGCTGGCTTAGAAAACAAGTGTCTTCGGAGATCACTTTAGGGTGAGACAGGCAAGTCCACAGACTCCCGGATGGGAACTGACACTTATCAACTGCTTACCATGTGCCAGTCGCTGCAGTATTTATTTACATAGTCATGCTTTCCCTCTGGGAAAGGAAAGGCAGGGCTGGCTATGGGGAGGAAGTTTATTGTTGATAAACTACCCAGGATTGAACGGGAGTCTGTCTAGCTTCAAAACCCATCTTTTCTCATCCTATTGCAGACCATCAGGGGATTTGGGGCTCAGAGTGGGGCCTGGGCACTGTGGGTGGAGGGGGGTCTGGCAGCGGGAGGCAGCTCACAGGTAAGGGAGGGATGGCTGAGGGATGCGGAAAGTTGCAGTGTGACCACAATGTGACCAAAGAGAAGGCCACTGGCTTTGCTGGCTCTGCCAGGCGGGGCCAGTAGCTCTGGCTTCCAGGAAGGCGCTGGCGTTAGGGAGAAAAGCCACAGGGATTGATTAAATGATTCATTGCACTCAGCTAACAGTTGTCTAGACTATTCCCTATTCTCAGGAGGTGGTGAGTGATGTCACAGGAATCAGCTCAAGGTCAAGAGGGAGTTAGAAGCTGGGGAAGGTCAGAGCTGGCTTGAAGCAACCCCATGGCTGAGCACACATTCATTTTAATTCAAACAGTATAGAAAAGTACAAAATAGAAAGGAGGACTTCCTCGGTGCCTCTTCCCATCGCCCCCAGTCTGCAAAGGAAGGAGGACTTCCTCGGTGCCTCTTCCCATCGCCCCCAGTCTGCAAAGGAAGGAGGACTTCCTCGGTGCCTCTTCCCATCGCCCCCAGTCTGCAAAGGAAACCACGCTTACTGAGTCTTCCAGAACATGTTGGTCCCTGTATACACACACACACATGGAACCAAACATTTTTTGCACTTCATTCATTATCTTTTTTATTGGTATAGAAATAGTTACAGAAGGGCCCTCTCTGGTGGTGCAGCGGGTTGGAGCACTGCACTGCAAAGCTAAGCCAAGCTGTGGTGGCTGCTTCTGCGAGTTCGATTCCCCACCCCGGAGGTGACCCACATGGTGCACAGACCTCTGTCTCACCCGCTGCTCCCCTCAGCAGTGTACTTTGTCAATCTGCCTGTTCTGCTCCCCGCTCTGTTTCTGATGCATCCTCTCGCCACCCTGCCCCTCTGGCTATACCCCATTTCTGTATGCATAAATAAATAAATCTTAAAAAATTAAAGAAGTAGCTACAGAGAAGCACAGAACTTCTGTGTTCGGCTGCATGAATCATCACATCATAAATAGTGCACGGACTAGGCACCCAGACCTAGGACTGAGCAGCGCTCCTGTGCTTAGAGACCCCTCTCACTTGCTTTGAGTCACTGCCCCACTGGGAAGTAACCACTGCGCTGACTCCTAACACCAGATTCATTTGTGCCAGTCTTTAGCATAAATATGGAATTAAACTTCATTTTTTTAAAAAAGATTTATTTGTTTGTGCATACAGAGCTGGGGGCCAGGCCAGAGGATCAGGGGCAGTGAGAGGCTTCACCAGAGGCAGAGTGGGGAGCAGAACAGGCAGATCTACGAAGTACACTGCTGAGGGGAGCAGCGGGCGGGTCAGGGAAGGTCTGCCGCGCCATGTGGTCACCTCTGGGGCAGGTGGGAATCGAACTCATGCAGAAGCGGCTTTAGATTCTCAATGCTGTGCTTTAACCTGCTGTGCCACCAGGGAGGGCCTAAACTTCATTTTTTAGCAAACCCTTTGCTCATAGGAAGCTGCAAAGAGAGCAGAGAGACCTATGTATTCCGCCCCACCCCCACCACCGTCTTCCCCACTGGTGACAGTTTACTGAATTACAATTCTAGGTCAAAATCAGTACTTTGACGTTAGTGCAAGGTGTGGACAGAGTTCTGTCCTTTGTCACATGTGGGAATTGGGGTGACCACACAACCCCCCAGCTCTTCAGTCACAGTGAAGAGATCCCTTGCGCTACTCTTTCATATTGTGCTAACCCGTCTCCCCTCAACCATCCTTAGCAACCGCTCATCTTTCTTCCAATTTTATAATTTTGAGACTGTTTACATAAACAGAATTATACAGTGGCTGTCTTTTGGAATTGGCTTTATCCTGGCTCCTGTCAGGATAATGCACTAGACCCACGCAGATCACTGGGCACCTTAGTAGACGCTCCGGCAGCTGCTTGCGAGCATTCCATGGCAGGTTTAACCACTCACCCACTGACAGTTTTGGGGGTATCCAGCTTCTGGCTACTGCAAATCAAACTGCTGTAAGAAACCATGTGTAGACCTCTGTGAACATGCTGGTTTTCATTTTTTGAGAGTTAGCGTTCAGGCATGCGATCGCTGGGTCGTAACGTAAGTGCATTTTTAGTTTTTTGAGAAACTGCCCAACCAGAATGGCTGTATCATTCTATGTTCTGCCAGTAGTGCAGGAGAGAGAGTTTTGCATTCTCATGAGAATTTGCTGTTCTCACGCTTCTCTATTTTAGCTGTTCTAGTAGATGTGCAGTGATATTTCACCACAGTTTTAATTTGCATTTTTCTACTGGCTAATGATGATGAATATCTTTTCATGGGCTTATGTGCCATCTGAATATACTCTTCAGCAGAGGTATTTCTTCATTTATTTCATACATATTCTGATTAGATTCCTTGCTTTATAAAGCTGCGTTTTGAGAGTTCTTGGTATACCAATTCGGTATAAGTCAGATGCATGATTAGCAAATATAGTTTCCAAACCGTAACTTGACTTTCACCCTTCATAGCATCTTTCTCACAGTGAGAGTTTTTTGTTCTGATGAGGTCCAATATATTGACGTTTCCTGGTTATGGATCATTTCTTTTGTGATTTTGATGTAAACTGTCATGTCATCTGCAAATTGATCAAGTTTTATTTCTTGCTCTCACATGCATATGCATTTATTTCAGTTCTTTGCCTTACTGCATTGACTAAATTCTAGTAATATGTTGACTAGCTTTATGTTGAATATAATTTTCTGATAATTATTTCTGAGGAGAACTTCCAATATTATATTGAAAGTGAACATAATTGCCTTGTTCCGTGATTTTAGAGGGGAAGCAATTTTTCAGCATCAAGTGTGAAATAAGCTTTTTATAAATTTTCTTTATAAAATTGAGGAAGTTCCTGTCCTTAATTTCCAAGAGTTTAAATCATGAATGGGTATTAGAGTTGTCCAATGCTTTTTCTTTTTCTGAATAAACTGATGGGATAATATGATGATTCTTCTTCAGTCTATGTCGTAGCCCATCTGGATTGTCCTAACAAAATACTGTAGATTGGGTACATTTTTTTTCTCATAGTGCTGGAGGCTGGAAATTCCAAGATAAAGGTACCAGCAGACTTGATGTCTCATGGGGACTTACTTTCTGGTTTACAACTGTCATCAGTTTTCATCATGTCCTCAAATGGTGGAAGAAAGGAGAAAATATTCTGGGATCTCTTTTCTAAGGCCACTAACCCCATTCGTGGGGCTCCACGCTCATGACCTAATCACTTTCCAAAAACCTCTACCCCAAACATTGAGGATTAAAATCAGTAATGGCATCTCATTAGTATGGATGGCTATACTGATTAATGATGAAACATTTAACCAGCTTTGAACCCCTGGAATAAGGGCCACACAAGGACAGAAACACAGAAGAGAATCATTCCCTCTGTGGGTGGGTAAGAAGGTGGATTTCTACAAACTTTTCAGCAAAGTTTGGCCTGTGTTGAAAAATTTTAAAAACGACCATACCCATATTCTCAGTTCCTGCGAGCTTATGCTGAAAAAGTAACTTTAAATAAGAAAATAATTGGCTAAAGCATTCTGCACAACATTATTAACATTAGTGAATAGAGCTTTAAAAGTTTTTTGACTAGAACAATCCAAATATCTAGTCAAAAGAGACAGTCTCTACCAGATGGTATGTCTAGTACATAAGGAATCTATAATCACACAGAAACTGCCTGATATACTATTAGGTGAGAACAAGCAGCCTGCAGAAATCACCTACATTATGGCTGTATCTACATAACAATAACAACACAGGTACTCAGATCAGCAGGCTGGACGGAAATATACCAGACTGTCAAATGAATGGCGTGGACAGACTCTGAATATACTTAATTACTATCTAGTTCTTTTCTCTACTTTTCTGTAAGTTCTAAATTTTCTGTTTTAGCATGCACTATTTTTATAAAGGGAAACTTAGGCCCAAAAGTTCAATACTCGGGCTGTGCTTTGTTTTCTACATCCCAGCCACGAGCCCTCTGTCCTCTGGGAGAGGTGGAGCAGACTGGCAGTGAGGTTGCTCCACGGACTGGCCCGCAAGCTTACCCGTGACATGAGGTATTTCCAGGACACACCTGCAAACCCCTTAAGATGATGGCCACACAAGGGCGCAGCCTGAGCGCCAGCCCCGCCCAGGTCGGGCTGGCCTTGACCCACCTTTTCCAGCGGGGACGTGCACTCGTCACAAGCCTCTCTGAGCAGGAGCTGGGCCCTGCTGGTGTCTCCCTGCTTGTACGCGGTGTGGATGCCTTCCGTCCTGGGGCACGGTGCTGTGGGGACCCCGCCTGGCGTGGATGGCTTGCCGCCCATGTCCCTCGCACCTGGGCAGGAGGAAGCACACACAGTGTCACCATCACGGCTGGGTGGCTCATGGGACTTGGCAAGATGAGCAGGACGAGCTGTCCTCGACACAGTCCTGCCCGTGGCACCAAGCACAGCAAACCCTGGGTCTGCCGCCCTGAGTGGGGTGGGGGGTGGGGGCTTCTTGGGTGGCGCTGGTGTTGAAACTGGGCTGCAAAGGCACCTGCAGTGCACACTGCTCAGGAGGACGCTGCCTCGAGTTGGTAGCTAAGAAGGGACTGAGCGTTTGGAAATCTACATCCTCTCTACCTAGAAAGCATCACAAATGACATGGTCCTTAGACTTGGTCCCCCCTCACCCAGATCTGCCCCTGCACAAATGTGCTCTGTGATCTTGACAATACCCTCAAGCCCTGGGCCTTGGGGATGCCCTTGAACCACTGGTGTGACGGACCCTGGCATCCGTAACATGCTGCCTTGCTCTGCCATGCTGGTTATCTGAAGAGTGGTCTTGCCAGTGATGCCCTGCTGTCCTCTGCTAGTGGACACTGGCCCCATGGGCTAAAACATGGTGCAACTGGCGCTATGTTGTGGTGACAGGCAGCTACGGAGGAGGGTATGTGTGCACGTGCTATGTTTCTAGGGAGAAAATTTAAGCTTTCTGCCAGATTTCCAAATGTGCAAGTTAACAGAAAGCAGCAACTATGGAAGAAAAAAGTGCTAAAGTAGGTTTCACAAAAATGTCAAATTTCTGTCTATCAAGACTGACCACAGCAAAATGATTTACCACTTAAAAATTAACAGGCAAGTTACATGCCAGCAGAAAATATTTGCAAAATATATACCCCCAAAAGGAATGGTGTCCAGAATACAAAAAGAACTTACAATGCAGTAATAAAGGACAAACAACCCAATTAAAAATGAACGAAGGTGGCGCAAAGGGTTAAAGCACAGCACTGTGAAGCTCCCCGAGGCCAGGGCAGCACAAGTTTGGTCCCAGGTCAGCGAGCTGACTCACATGGCGAAGCAGATCTCTCCCGACCCACCCGCTGCTCCCCTCAGCAGTGTGCTTCAGTTGATCTGCTTGTTCTGCTCCCCACTCTGGAGAGTCCTCTCACTCCCCCACCCCCCCAACACACACCTCTGGCCTGTAACCGATTCTGTAAGCATAAATAAATAAATGTTAATCCTTAAAAAAAAAAAGAGCAAAACAGGGATTGTGGGAGATATTCAAAGAGCTCAACGCCATTAGTCATCAAAAATAAAGCTTAAAACCACAGGGAGACGCCACTTTACTCCCAATAGAACTGCTAACACTGGCAAAGACTGATGACAGCTGGTGAGGATTTGGGCCACCCAGAACACTCTTACCCACTGGGCAGAGGACAAAGTGGTGCAGCTACTTTGGAAGCAAAGCTGGTGTTGCCCCAGAAAGCTAAATAACCCCCCTCCCTATGACCTAGCAATTCTTTGCTTAGATCCTCATTGTTGTAGGTAGAGATCTAATATTTTTATCTAAGAATGTGCATAGCACTATGCTTTGTTCTGAATCTTTCCAAACTCTAAATAACACAGGTGTGGCTCAGCAGGGCAGGGCTGTACCTATTGAGGAATACAAAGGAATGCATGACTGAGCCAGGAGATGGCCCGGAGGGGTCAGAATGCCTAGTGAAAGAATGACTCACTCTATGAGTCCGTGCTATGCTGTTGTCATCAGGACAGCGTTAGGGGGTAGGGCCAGGTGCGGAGTTTACCAGGGATGGCACACAGGGACACAGAGATGAATACAGAGCCTGGGATGGCTCTGTATCTCGGTGATGTCCAGGTGTCCAGGTGTTTGCAGCCTCTATCCGACAGCGCATTTAAGACAGGCAGTTTTACTTTGTGTAAATTTTACTTCAGAGCTACATTAAACAGTGGTCACTAACATCTGAAGGCTAAAGTGGTTGAGGATGAAGTGTACAGATGTTTGCAACGTATTCTGGAACGCATCGAAACCCTGGACTGATGGGTAGAGACGCAGGAAAGGCGAGGGCAGTCTCTGAGACTGTTAATGGCCGAATCTAAGTGGTGGTTAGGTTGCACATGGTTCCATGTTTTCGACTTTTATGTGTGGCTGAAAATCTTTGTGACAGAATGTTGGGAGAAAAAGTGGATCAGGGCCCTTTCTGGTGGCGCAACGGGTTAAAGCGCAGCACTATCAAGCCATCACAGCCACTGCAGGACGAGTTCGATCCCTGGCCAGGGAGGTGACCCATCGGAGCGGCATACTTCTCCTGACCCGCCCACTGCTCCCCTCTGCAGTATATTTCAGTACATCAGCCTGTTCTGTTCCCCACTCTGTCTCTGGTGAATCCTTTCATCTCCCCACCCCCTTGCACCTCTGGCCTGTACCCCATTTCTGTATGCATAAATAAATATATCTTGAAAGAAAAAAGGAAAAAATGGATCAAAACAGTGCCAACAGGTGAGGTGCTGAACGTGCTCCCCACAGGCACAGGACAGTGCTGCCCCGGAGAAGCCAAGCTGCTCACAGTAATCCTGGGTCCTGCGGGCTCACCTGGAGCCAGGATCTCCACCATTTCACAGGTAGGTAACGTTTCTGCAAACCCATGCAAATAGATGAGTGCGAGCACAGCAGACCGGCTGCATCCTTCCTGAAACATCAGTGCCAGTGCTAAACCTGCAATGTTGTTTCTTTTCTTTTTGTTGAGCTGTGCACTTTTAAAAAGGAATCAGGAAAGGGCTTATGTTGTGTCCCTGGTTGCACATGTGAGTTAAGGCAGCTTCACTTTTCATCCCACACAAACAGAATTCATTCATTATTTACAGGGAGAGACCCTGAGAAACCGGAGGAGGCTGCAGGCAGAACAGCCAGGCCACAGGCAGGGGCAGGGGGAGGAGGAGGTGGAGGAAAAGCCAGCAGCAGCGGCATCCTGCGGGAGGTGTGCTTAATGATGTCGCCGCTCGCCACTCGGAATTAGGCGAGTGATTGCCTTACTGCCTGCAAGACACGTGCTGTGTGTGTGACGTGGTCACGGCAAGTAGCCTCTTCCGCTCACATGAAGCATATAGATAAAGGCAGTTCAAGCGGGAAGCCCAGGTGAAGCCTCACTGGGACCTAGGACACGGGGCGCTTGTGAAATTACGAGGGTGATTGCATTTGAACTTGAGTTTTAAAGTAAGCGATGCATGTGGAGTCAACGATACAGTAAAAACCAAGACCTCATTTGTGCTTTTTATTGTGGCATTTTCAGTGTTGAATCCAATTTTCCTTAAGCTGCATGGACAACATATGTCCACTCTCATTGACCCCACGAGCTGGGGGGTCTGGTACAATCAAATAGCTGAAAGGACATAATGGAAAAACCTCAGTGAATGCATATGGGCTTCATTTAAATCTGCCAATATCATTTAATTTCCTGAGCTTATAAAGAGAATGGCTAACATATTTAAATTGAAAGACAAAGAGACCAAAATGCTAAGAATGACTATTAAGGATGGGTTGGGGAGGAATCAGTAATAGGATTGGAAAAGAGATTTTTTTCTTTTATTTCCATAGTTCTCTGCAGTGGCATTATAACACTTGTGTTTCAAACTGTAAGGACCAAAGAATATATTCTCATGAAAAATAAAAAAATAGAAACAGGCAAAAGGCAGAAACCTCTCTTTACCCCTGTGAGATACCTTTTCTTAGAGGTGAAATATTTACTTTTATTATTCTGTTTCCCCCAAATACATAGTTTTGTATTTAAGAATCGGTGGCCTTTGACTTGAATTAAGACAGGAGACTGCATTTGTACTCTCTGAGATTACTCAGTTATTCATGCCTAGTAGCTACCATTGTCCGTAATTTTTAAAGAGTAAAATTTCACAGTTTTAAATATTTTCCTCAGACAGATTCAAAATTCATATGAAAAATATAACATTCTGTTTCAATAAAATATTAATGTCCCAAATAAGTAGCTAGAACTAATAGGAAAATAATGGCCAGACATTAGGATGAATCAGTTTCAAAGTAAAAGCAAATCCTTTTTGTTGTCTATATTACAATCTGTGTCATTACATTGCTATAGAACAATGAAAATCCCGTTTATGCACATACAGACACACAGTCTACAAATAGACGTCTCACTTGTTCTTAATGTAACATTAATCTGCTTAACTAGTTGTGTTCAGGAGAAACCTAACTGCACTTTTGTTTTTTCATTCAGTAAATAATGTGGGTGGCTAGGGTGATGGACTCAGCCCACAGGGACTTACTCAAGAAAACAAGAAGCATTTGTGATAAGATGTGAGATTAGAGCACATACCCCTGGTTGGTTAGTTTCTCTTGCAGCCTAGTATTTAAATATTCTGGACATGAGTGGTAAATTAGAGTTCTGTGACCTCTAGCTATGTAAAGCAGCATTTGGTTAAAATACATGAAATATTTAAAAACTTGTGGCAGGAAAGCATCAGTTAGTCCTGGGTAATCATTTTCATTATAAATCACTTATAAAGCAATAATACTTTCAGTAACAGCGTATGTTTCACAAATTCAGTCCTTTCTTAGAGAAACAGTTTGTTACTAATAACTCATCCTGTAAATGTCATTTCTATAAGTCAGATTTTAGAAAAAAATTATTCTGACTATAAGAAACAAATGGAGAATATTCTTCTCTTTTAAGTTGGGCAAGTAATAGCATAGAATAAAAACTATGTCCTGCCACTTATTCCAACAGTTACTGTCACCTTCCCCCCTGAAGCCAGTCTTCCTTTGTCTGTTGATTCCGAGACCACTCTGCCCTACATTCGAAAGACACTTTCCTATCTTTCCTTGCAAAATATTTGTTAAGTCATTCTTCCCAGCCCAATAATCAGAATAAAATTCTCCCTCTACTGCTTCTTTCCTCCTGCAAATCTAGGACAACAGATCACATGAAAGTGACCTTAATTCTGTAAATTCTAAATGTTGACCTTACACAGACATTAATATTTAATTGTCTCATCTCCATCAAAGAAAACAAGTATGTCAGTGC